GAGTTCATGGAAGTTGGTGGACTAATCCAGAGATGGTGGAGTGAGCAAAGAATGTGGTTGATCAAAGGCATCACATCTTCCACCTTTGGAACTTTGGATTTTATATTTAGCGAAATAGGGAGCTCAACCTCAGGATTCAACTTGACAAGCAAAGTTAAGAAAGAAGAAGAAAACAAGTTGTATGAAAATGGCAAGTTTGTCATCTACGCTTCACCATTCTTTGTCTCAATGGTAACGATAGCCATTGTTAATTCCATCTCCTTCATTTTTGGATTCATAAAGGCTATGATAAGAGTTGGGGGGTTGGATGAGATGCTGATTCAGATATTGCTTTCTGGATTCATTGTGACAAACTCGTGGCCTATTTATGAGGCAATGTTCACTAGAAAAGATGGTGGAAAAATGCCAGGAAGTGTTACTAAGGCCTCTATTTTGCTTTCCTCTATATTATTCTATCTCGGTAACTTCAAATTTACATAAATGATTAGCTAGGCTAATGCTTTGTTACTTGCTTATGATTCAAGTATGAACACTAGAGTTTCTAATATGTTGGATGATCGATACTATAGTTTCCAAGTTGATAAAGGGTTTATATATGTGTAGTTTCTATTGAATAAGTAATATGATTACATGAATAATGTACTATGTGCAAAGCCTCCAAAACACTAGACTTCTAGAATTGTCACTCTCAAATGCAACATCATCAATTTCATGGATCAATTTGAAATAATTGCAATCATATTTTGTTTAGTGTATAAGACATCTTTTAGAACTTATCTTAAAAAAATTGCACTGAGAAGGACGTCAATTTCTATAAGATAGAGCTTGAATAAAAGTAGGAATGAAAGGATAAATTTCAAATAGATAATTACTAAACAAAAGAACATAGCTTTAATATAATATATAACTTGCAAGAATTTTTTGTCAAAGAGTAGAAATAGTTGAACAAGAATTTCTATACAAGATAATATATGAACAAATAAATCTAATGGTAAACTATACTGAATAAATTGAGAAACAAGAAAGTCTAAAAAAAAAAGTTTAAGGCAAAGATCTTAGGTGCTGAACTCTACATAACAAATTATCAAACACTTCTACAGAATTTCTATACAAGATAATATATGAACAAATAACTCTAATTGATTAAGATTTTGTTTGGGATGATTTTCTTACTACTACTTAAAATAATTTTTAACACAAAAAATTTTAACTAAGTTTTTTTGTATTATATAATTACTTAAAAAAAACAATAAAAAAAACTTTCATAAATAAAACCTAAATTTAAATACTATGAAACTTGAAAAGAGATTCATTCACAATCAATATCTATAAAAAAAGAAATTAAAAAGGAATACGTTTATCATGAGAGCTCTGC